AATCCAGGATTATTAGTCTGTTGGTCCTTGAAAAAAAATTTCTTTAAAAATCCACTTTTATATAAAATTCACATTAATTAGTGTTTTTGTCCTTGAAAATGTTTCCTTAAAACTCAAAAGCTGGTTCTGAAAAATTCTCTATTATTGGTCCTTGGAATAAAATAATATCCTTTAAAATTCCTCGCCTATTGGTCAATTGTGTTTTAAAAAATATTCTTCATAAAATTCCTTGCCTATTGGTCAATTGTGTTTTAAAAAATATTCTTCAAAAAATCCACGTTTAGTGGTCTGTTGGTCCTTGAAAATTTTTTTATAAAATCCACGTTTGATGGTGTGGATGTTTCGTGAAAAAATATTCTTTAAAAATCCAAGTTTAGACAATGAAAGGTCCTTGATAAATATTTTTTGAAAATCCACATTCAAACAATGAAAGGTCCTTGACAAAATATATGTTAGAGATCCACGTTTTTTGGTATGTTTGTCCTTGAAAAGTATTCTTTAAACATCCGAGTTTTAACGATGAAAGGTCTTTGAAAAATTATTCCTTACAAATCCAGGACAATTAGTCAGTTGGTGTTTGAAAAAAATTTCATTAAAAATCCAGCTTTAGGTCCTTATAAAATATTCTATAAAAAATATTCTATAAAAACAATGAAAGATCCTTAAAATATATTCTTTAAAAATCCACGTTCATCGGTGCATTGAAATCAAAAAAAAAAAAAATATTGGAATTTTCGGTTTTGTTTGTTTTTTGGCCTTTGACTTAGAAAATTGTTTTGATATCTTGGGAAAATTGCTCTGTTTCTGAATTTTCTGTGAAAAAATTCGTATATGATATTTTTGAATTTCTGGAGTTTAAGTAGGAGTTAGACTTTAAATGTATTCTGAGACCTACATTCGAATTTCATGGCGAATATATTTGTACAATATTATGATCCCGTTTAAGGGAAGTGTTTACTTTTTGTGAAAAAAGTTTTTTTGATAAATTATTCACTTTTTCGCCCCAGATACTTTATGCCTAAAATGCAGAAATTCAAAGGAATATTTCGAATTAAAATTTCAGAAAATGTAGAAAAGGGAATATCTTTCCTCGCCCCTTATTTTACGTTAGTCTTCGATGTAAACTTTAATTTTATTCGAGACTGTAATTTTTTAATCATAATCATTAATCATAATCTACTGGTTTTTTCTGTTATTATTATTTTTTGTATTCCCCCCCTCTTCCATATTTTTCAAGATTTTCAGACTAGGATTCCTTGAAATCCTTAAATTTTATTCATGATAACATTATGAGAATTTTGTTTGTCAAAAATTAGTTATAAAAACTATTTTTTTTTCTGTAAAAAAAAAAATTACTTTCACTCGAACCGTTCGTATTCAAAAGTATTTGTTTAAATTTGGACTTTTATGGAAATTTTGAAAGCTCGCGAACATTTCCCAAAAAAGTTTGATATGCCAGTGTTTCTATAACCATTATTTTGTTTTTTTTTTCATTTTAATTCGCTGCAATACCAATAAATACAATGTTTACTATGTATTTTTAAATTTTATTTTACATTTTATTTTTAATTTTTCTAAATAAGTTTAAAAATCATATTAGAGGGGATAGTATACATTTCATATTTACTGAGCGGAGTCCCCGACTTGCACATAAAAATCTGAAATAGCCGATTAGTAAAGTAATGTCAAACCCAATTGTCTTTTCGGTAAATTGTCTCATAAATACTCTCTAAGATGATCTTCTGCAACACAAATTAGTCTGCGTTCCAACACATCCCCTTGATCTACGAATATGCATCCTAATTATGCCAGTAGCCAAAACAAACGAAATATTCAAACACTGTTAGATAGCAGCATATCTTCCTCATTAATTGTACGCACGTTTTGTTTTTTTTTTTTTTTTTTTGTCAGTTTTGAATGTATTCAAATATTTTAAATCTACTTGAAGTGAATAAAAAAATAAGGGAAGATGTCAAATTGTTTTTTATTTTTATTTTGTTTTAAACAAAACAATGTCACTAAGTTGTCACAGCAGATGTGTTAATGTCGAAACACTTTGTTACGAAATCCGGCGTAAAAGTTTGTTTGTTTTGTTTGTTTTGGGTATTATTTGCTGATTTAATTTTTATTTCAACTTTTGCAACACAAAAAAAAAAAAAAAAAAAAAAAACAGACACAAATACTTTTTAAATTCTTTAATTTTAAATTGCTTTTTAAGTATTTTTTGGTTGGTATCTTGATTTGAGATGTGGAGCTTTTTTTGGAAATGTGTACTATAATTGTACGAATAGTACGCAATAGTACTCTATTTGGTCTTGGGTGTATGAATGGAGTTGGAATCCTGGAATTTGATATAGATGTATCCGGAATTGTAGTAAATGGTATTGAATTTGGTATTTAGCGAAAGGATAGAGCTGAAATCCCGAAATTTGATATTGAGGCCATTATAGGTATCTAAGGTTGAGGTATGGGGATTCTTTTAAAAGTGCGTGCTTTAACTGTACGAAAAACGCTAAGTGCTACTAATTTGATATGAATGTCTCTGTTGGTGTCTGTAGTTGTGAGAACAAGGCCGTTTTTGAAATGCGTACTATGAACGTACAGAAATGTACCGCCGGAATAAAGATGGAATTTCGAAATTTGGTGTCGGTACCACTATTGATGTCTAGGGTGGAGAGAAGTATATGGTTTTGGACATGCCGCATACCTGTAAAACAAATTTGGGTAATAAATTTGGGATTGGGTCTTAGGATAGAGCTAAAATTGGGAAATTTGATATTGAGGCCGCTGTTGGTATATAGTTTTGAGCGAAGGAGGTGGTATTGGGAATGCGTACTATGATTGCTCGAAATGTACTAAATTTGTTGTCGAGTGCATAAACAGGCATTGAATATGGAGATCACTCTTGATTTCTAGGATTTTGATATGACGGTGACCAATGAAAAAACGCTGAATTTCCTGATTTTCTAAGAACAATTTTTACGGATCTTCTGACCAAAATTGTGGTGTCTTTTAGGGATTTCTGTAAAAAAAATCGAACTTAATGTACAAAATTTTAATAAAAATACAGGAACTTCCTGGGTATTAATTCGAGGATTTTTTAAAGAATATTAGCTGTAATTTTTAAATAATTCAAACTATTCCCTCAGGTCAGAATTATGTTTATTGTCCAACTTTACATCGAAACATGTTCAAGGATCCCCTGAACCAAAATTGTAGAGATTCTAAGGGATTTATGGTCATAACAATCGTAAAAAATTAGTTAAAGCACTTATTGTCAAAAAAAACAGTGAATTTGGAGTAAACATTCCAGAACTTCTTGACCAAAGATTCGTGGATACTCGTCATATATTGAGGATGTACAGGGTGAGATAAAACAACTGCAACAAAGTCAAACGCCATAATTTTTACATTTTTTTAATTTAATTGAATAAAAGCAAATAATTTCGGAAATAGCATTTCAAATTGTTCGAATTGATGACATTTGCACGAATTATGGCCTTCAAACGCCAATGAAACCGTCCCACTCTGCCCGAATTTTGCTCTGCGGTATTTTGGCTCATTCCCGGCGAAGCGCTTGCCGAGGTGACCGACACTTTGGTATTTTTTAGTGCCAATCTTGCTTTCCAAAATACTCCAGACACAATAGTCCAACGGATTGGTATCCTGACATTTTGGTGGCCATTGTGCGCTGGAGCGAGGAACCTCATTTTGTAACCATTCTTGGGTGGCGTGAGCTGAGTGCGATGGTGCTGAGTCCTGTAGGAATGTTCAAGATCCGCGGCAAAAATTTTGCCCAAGGCTTTAGTACACCCTCCAGAATATATTCGCTATAATATTTGGAATTCATTGTGATGCCACGGTCGGTTAATACGAGCGGAGAGCGACCAACGGCTGTTATGGTGGTCCACACCATCACAATGGCCGGCGCTTGAGTTCTGGTGGCCAACTGAAGGTGCACATTTTCATCTGACCTCTTTGGCAAGTAAACACGATAATTTTGTTTGTTTACAAACTGCTGGACAACGAATATTTTCTCATCGGAGAAACCCAAATTCGGCAGTTCACCACTTTCGGCCGGCCAAGCGAAGCAACTCTTTAGCTCTTTTGAGTCTATTTTCATTCTGTTGAGGTGCACGTTTCTTGCACTTTTTGGAATTTCAATGGCTTTACCCCGGGCTTATTTTTCATGGCTCACGAGCCATTTTTTGGCCACTGGAACGCGGGTTTCGATCAAGGCGCTTCTTTATTTTTCGAACCATTTCCGCTGATGTTGCTATTTTCTTCCGTCCACTGACATCGGGCTACGCTACCTGGATCACGGAAAGGAGCGAACGAACGAGACACAAAAGATTTGTTCACATTTAAATGCTGGAGTGCTCTAACGATAGCCACTTGTGGTTTTCCAGCCAAATATAATATCGCGCTTGAATTCCATCACGAATAACTTTTTTTCTGGAAAATTCTCACCAAAATGCTTTTGTACGCTTGTAAACAATATAATGAGCTGTCACTGGAATAATTTTTACAGCTGTCGGACAAGTGGATTGGAAATGACAGCAGTCTGAAAGTGGTTGCAGTTTTTTCATCTCATCCTGTATTAGTTGCCACTGAAAGCAAATTATAATTGCTTTAAAGTCAAATGTTGATAGGTGGTCTGATCTACTTCAAATATATTCTTTTGTTACGGGAACTTTACTAAATGTGCATAGTGGTGTAGGGTATCATATAGTCGGCCCCTCCCGATTTTTGACTTTTCCTTCCTGGTGAAATAATTGAAACTATACCCTCAAGTCACATACATAAATAATTCCTGGCAAATTGCGTTTATTATTATTAAAAATGTTTCACTGTTTTGTACTTTCCATCCCTGGTGTATATTTTCAAAATTTCAAACCCACACACACAATACATTTATAACACATTTCAATTTAACAAATATTGGTTAATAAATAATTAATCTGATACTAATTGTGTTGTACACCCTTCTCTCTTTACAGGTCGGCGTATGATTAATAATTTATTCCGAACCGAGTAACATGCGATAATGCGTATACGCCCCATTAAAATTTAACATTGGTTGGTAACGATGACATGGCAGAGTGACGTTATTAAATTCAAAATAAAAACTTTATCAAATTAGTAACGAGAAGTTCTACAGAAAATATGGTCTTGTGCCAGAGAGCAATCAACATGTCAATTGAAAAGAAATGATAAAATAAATTCCAAAGAAAAGGAAAAGTGTTAAAACGAAAAAAAGGAAATTAAGTGAAACAAATCGGAAAATACCTAGAATAAAAGTGAATGTAAAGAAAATAATTTTTAATTTGAAAAGAAAAAATAAGAAAAACGCCACAAAATGTCACATTTCGCCACGATATTGGAAAATATTCGAATGGTGGCAATCAAGCGTAGCCCCGTTGCTCAACAGAAACAGGCCAGTCCTAAACAGCCACAACAATGCCCGGTGGCAGTGGTTAGTGATTCGGCAAAGGTATGTGATGGTGGCGGCGGGGGTGGTGATGGGGTAGGAGGCAATGAAATGAACTCCACCTCATCTCTTTCACAACAAGACATTCCACAGGAAAAAACAATGACCAACAATCACCAACACAATCATCATGGACAGCCGGCAACCAGCACCAAATCAAACACAGCTGCAGCCAACAACAGTCATCAGCAGCAGCAGCAGCAGCAGCAGCTGAATTCGCATAGCAATGAAGAAACCCGGCCCAACGTCTCCTCCAGCAGTGCCACGGGCACTCCGGTTAAACATCAACACAAACGACAAAGCATATCGGCACGCGGTTCAATTGGTTCGGCGGAAACCAGTCGTAATTCGCCCGGTCGGGATCGATCTAATCGCAATGCAAATGTCATCGTTGAAATCGATTCGAGTGGAGCCACCGTCAGTTCAAGAAACACATCGTCCGGCGGCGGTAGTCGTGGCTCTCGTGAACTTTCTCCCACACCGAAAAATCAACAACGTAAAATGTCGACCGATTTTCGTTCGCGGGCCGGTAGCTTCATCCATGTCGACGAGGAGGGCAGGAGCATTTTGATGCGTAAACCGGTGCGTTTGAAGAACATCGAAGGACGCCCGGAGGTCTATGATACGCTGCACTTTAAGGGCAGGGAGGTGAGTAGAAATTTAAACCAATTAGTTCGTAACTGGAAATGAGAATAAGGTCCCTTTTGGAGGACGTGGTTTTTTAAAGAAAATATTTTCAAGGGTCAAAAGTGGATTTTAAAGAATTTTTTCCCAAGGAATAACGTGGATTTTTAAAGAATATTTTTTCAAGGACCCATGAACGTGGATTTTTAAAGAATTTTTTTTCAAGGAGCCATGAACGTGGATTTTTAAAGAATATTTTTTAAAGGACGAACAGACCTATAAACGTGGATTTTTAAAGAATATTTTTTCAAGGACCAATAAACGTGGATTTTTAAAGAATATTTTTTCAAGGACCCATAAACGTGGATTTTTAAAGAATATTTTTTCAAGGACCCATAAACGTGGATTTTTAAAGAATATTTTTTTAAGCACCCATAAACGTGGATTTTTAAAGAATATTTTTTCAAGGACGAATGAAGCTATAAACGTGGATTTTTAAAGAATATTTTTTCAGGGACCTTCATAACCATCAAACGTGGATTTTGAGAGAATTTTTTTTCAAGGTAATTCATACCCATCAAACGTGGATTTTTAAAGAATATTTTTTTTTCAAGGAGCTTCATACCTGTCAAACGATGATTTTGAGGGAATATTATTTTCAGGGAACTTCATACCCATCAGACGATGATTTTGAGGGAATATTATTTTCAGGGAACTTCATACCCATCAGACGATGATTTTTAAAGAATATTTTTTTCAAGGACACTCCTACAAAAATTAAATATCAACACCATCAGCAATAACCAGGACAGCAATGGCTAAAAGTTAACAGCGAACCACTAGACGGATATTGTTGTTAACAACTTGTAATGTTTTTTGAAGTTGTTGTTGTTGCTATTTCTTGTTGTTACATTTTTCTTGCATAGTCAGACATGTGTAACAAGTTTTATATTCATTTGTACATATGGTAATAAAAATGTAAACATACATGTGTACATATATACGTATGTATGCTTCCATGTGTTATCCTATGAACATGTGTGAGAATTCCGTTTGGGGAAGAAATCCATGCATATATCCGGTATTATGCCCCACAATGGGCATATTATTGTTGACGACAGGCATAATAAAAGAGAGAGAGAGAGAGAGAAATAAAACTATTTTCAGAAAGCGGCATGCGAGACATATACCCACATATACGCATATATGTAAATATTGTGAGGACAAGTTAAGAGACATTTAAATACATGTGTACAAATATAAGTGGATTTTGGAACTTTCAAGAAAGTGTCGAAGCAAAAAAGGGTGATGTAAAGAGGGCTGTGGAAGAAAGTGCGAAAGAAATATTAGATAAGTTGAAGACCAGTAGCCTTTTATAATAAAAAGAGGTCTTTGAAAATAATCGTTAAAAATACCCGTTTATTGGTCTGAAAATCTTTGAAAATTTATTATTCAGACATCCGCGTTTGATGTCCTTGAAAAAATATTCTTTAAAAAACCATATTTATTGCTCTGTTGGTCCTTGAACAAATATTCTTTAAAAATCCAATTTTTATGGATCTGAAGGTCCTTGAAAAAGTATTCTTTAAAAATATTATTTAACAAACGTTTGACAGGTCTCAAGATCCTTGAAAAATATTCTTTAAAAATCCAGGATTGAAGGCTGTGAAGGTCGTTGAAAAAATATTCTTTAAAAATCCACTTTTGATTTCAGTGAAGGTCGTTGAAAAAATATTCTTTAAAAATCCACGTTTGATGGCTGTGAATGTCCTTGAAAAATATTCCTTAAAAATCCATGTTTGATGGCCGTGAAGGTCCTTGAAAAATATTCCTTAAAAATCCATGTTTGATGGCTCTGAAGGTCCTTGAAAATATTTTCTTTAAAAATCCACGTTTGATGGCTGTGACGGTCCTTGAAAAAATATTCTTTAAAAATCCACGTTTGATGGCTGTGAAGGTCCTTGAAAAAATATTCTTTTAAAATCCACGTTTGATGGCTGTGAAGGTCCTTGAAAAAATATTTTTTAAAAATCCACGTTTGATGGCTGTGAAGGTCCTTGAAAAAATATTCTTTAAAAATCCACGTTTGATGGCTGTGAAGGTCCTTGAAAAAATATTCTTTAAAAATCCACGTTTGATGGCTGTGAAGGTCCTTGAAAAAATATTCTTTAAAAATCCACGTTTGATGGCTGTGAAGGTCCTTGAAAAAATATTCTTTAAAAATCCACGTTTGATGGCTGTGAAGGTCCTTGAAAAAATATTCTTTAAAAATCCACGTTTGATGGCTGTGAAGGTCCTTGAAAAAATATTCTTTAAAAATCCACGTTTGATGGCTGTGAAGGTCCTTGAAAAAATATTCTTTAAAAATTCATGTGTCATGGCTCTGTAGGTCCTTGCAAAAATATTCTTTAAAAATCCACGTTTGATGGCAGTAAAGGTCCTTGAAAAAATATTCTTTAAAAATCCACCTTTGACGACAAAAATATTCTTTAAAAGTCTACGTTTGATGGCATTGAAGGTCCTTGAAAAAATATTCTCTAAAAATCCACGTTTGATGGCAGTGAAGGTCCTTGAAAAAATATTCCTTAAAAATCCACGTTTGATGACAGTGAAGGTCCTTGAAAAATATTCTTTAAGAATCCACGTTTGATGGCTCTGAAAGTCCTTAAATAAATATTCTATAAAAATCCACGATTGATAGCTCCGAAGGTCCATGAAAAAATATTCTTTAAAAATCCACGTTTAATAACTCCGAAGGTCCATTAAAAAATATTCTTTTAAAGTCCACGTTTGATAGCTCTGAAGGTCCATGAAGAAATATTCTTTAAAAATCCACGTTTGATGGGTCTGTTGGACCTTGAAAAAATATTCTGTAAAAACCCCCGTCTGTAGGTCCCTAAGAATCTGAAGGTCCTTAAAAATAATCTTTAGAAATCCTCGCTCATTTGTCTGCTGATCCTTGAATAATTATTCTTTAAACTCCATGTTTGATGACTCTGAAGAAAAAATATTCTTTAAAAATCCACATTTGATGCCTCCTCTTATAGGCCCTGAATATTTTTCTTTGTCTCCATATGAGGTATTTCTGATAGAAGAGCCGTAGTTCTTCTCATAGAAGAGCAGGAGATCTTCCCATAGAAGTCCAGAAGATCTTCCCATAGAAGACCAGGAGGTATTCCCATAGAAGACCAGTAGGTCTTCTCATGGAAGACCAAGAAGACCTCCTCATAGTAGACCATGAAGGTCTTCTCATAGAAGTGCAGGAGGTTTTCTCATAGAAGTCCAGGAGGTCTTCTCATAGAAGACCAGGAGGTCTTCTCACAGAAGACCAGGAGGTCTTCTCATAGAAGACCAGGAGGTCTTCTCATAGAAGACCAGGAGGTCTTCTCATAGAAGACCAGGAGGTCTTCTCATAGAAGACCAGGAGGTCTTCTCACAGAAGACCAGGAGGTCTTCTCATAGAAGACCAGGAGTCTTCTCACAGAAGACCAGGAGGTCTTCTCACAGAAGACCAGGAGGTCTTCTCACAGAAGACCAGGAGGTCTTCTCACAGAAGACCAGGAGGTCTTCTCACAGAAGACCAGGAGGTTTTCTCACAGAAGACCAGGAGGTCTCTCATAGAAGACCAGGAGGTCTTCTCATAGAAGACCAGGTGGTCTTCTCATAGAGACCAGGTGGTCTTCTCATAGAAGACCAGGTGGTCTCTCATAGAAGACCAGGTGGTCTTCTCATAGAAGACCAGGTGGTCTTCTCATAGAAGACCAGGTGGTCTTCTCATAGAAGACCAGGTGGTGTGGTCTTCTCATAGAAGACCAGGTGGTCTTCTCATAGAAGACCAGGTGGTCTTCTCATAGAAGACCAGGTGGTCTTCTCATAGAAGACCAGGTGGTCTTCTCATAGAAGACCAGGTGGTCTTCTCATAGAAGACCAGGTGGTCTTCTCATAGAAGACCAGGTGGTCTTCTCATAGAAGACCAGGTGGTCTTCTCATAGAAGACCAGGTGGTCTTCTCATAGAAGACCAGGTGGTCTTCTCATAGAAGACCAGGTGGTCTTCTCATAGAAGACCAGGTGGTCTTCTCATAGAAGACCAGGTGGTCTTCTCATAGAAGACCAGGTGGTCTTCTCATAGAAGACCAGGTGGTCTTCTCATAGAATACCAGGTGGTCTTCTCATAGAAGACCAGGTGGTCTTCTCATAGAAGACCAGGAGGTCTTCTCACAGAAGACCAGGAGGTCTTCTCACAGAAGACCAGGAGGTCTTCTCACAGAAGACCAGGAGGTCTTCTCATAGAAGACCAGGAGGTCTTCTTAAGGTCTTCTCATAGAAGACCAGGAGGTCTTCTCATAGAAGACCAGGAGGTCTTCTCATAGAAGACCAGGAGGTCTTCTCATAGAAGACCAGGAGGTCTTCTCATAGAAGACCAGGAGGTCTTCTCATAGAAGACCAGGAGGTCTTCTTAAGGTCTTCTCATAGAATACCAGGTGGTCTTCTCATAGAAGACCAGGAGGTCTTCTCACAGAAGACCAGGAGGTCTTCTCACAGAAGACCAGGAGGTCTTCTCACAGAAGACCAGGAGGTCTTCTCACAGAAGACCAGGAGGTCTTCTCACAGAAGACCAGGAGGTCTTCTCACAGAAGACCAGGAGGTCTTCTCACAGAAGACCAGGAGGTCTTCTCACAGAAGACCAGGAGGTCTTCTCACAGAAGACCAGGAGGTCTTCTCACAGAAGACCAGGAGGTCTTCTCATAGAAGACCAGGTGGTCTTCTCATAGAAGACCAGGTGGTCTTCTCATAGAAGACCAGGTGGTCTTCTTATAGAAGACCAGGTGGTCTTCTCATAGAAGACCAGGTGGTCTTCTCATAGAAGACCAGGTGGTCTTCTCATAGAAGACCAGGTGGTCTTCTCATAGAAGACCAGGTTAGACCGTCTTCTCATAGAAGACCAGGTGGTCTTCTCATAGAAGACCAGGAGGTCTTCTCATAGAAGACCAGGTGGTCTTCTCATAGAAGACCAGGAGGTCTT